AGGCTTTTAAGAAAGGACAACTGTTGGCTAAAACAACCTTATCACCATTTCCTTTCTGCTGCTGGAGCCACCTTGCTGTGGGGCCAGAGGGTACCAAAAGGTTCAGCTCAACTCTGTCCGCAAACTGCAGTGATAAAAAGCACCAAGACCAGCAAGCGCTGAGAGCATCTTGGGAAAGGAAGAGTTTGTGTGAATGCACTAATAAAAGGAAGATAAATCTTTCATCACAGACCCATGGCAAAACACATTTGTACAGAAACTGACAATCATCCCATGAGTACACACATACAGAAAGTGCCAGCACTGCATGTCTAACACTTCTACTAAAAGGCAAGGTGACAGAATGTACCTTATTTATGCCTGGCTTTAAAATTCTGAATTAGAAGTAGCTACGCAGTCTCAAAAAGTACATGTCAAGTACCAATAAAAAGCATTGCCCATAAACTTCACATCTGGGACTGAAGTTGGCTGTATTTGCTGCCTGCTAGAAAAACAAACAAAAATAGTGAGCTCCAAAATATGTATCAACAAAGAAAACACCAGAAGTATGGAGCAAGAGAAACAGCAGTGGCATGGTGGGTAGCTTAAAACTTCTGTAGTTCAAGAGTCAACAAATTCTGTTTGGCTTAGAGTTTTCTGTAACATAGTGCATTTTGCCATCACAACCCATATAGCAAAGCTCTTCCACAGTAGCACAGGGAAATCTACATGATAGTTTCATCCTGCTACTGAGATACATTCAAGGTTAAATTTGGTGGCATAACACAGCAGCAGCACAGAGCAGCCAAGGGGAACAGAGGCTGCACTGCCAGGGTACTTGAGAGAGAGAGAGGAGAACCAGCAGCACCCTTTGGGAAGGGATAAGAGAGAACAAATGCAGGAGCCTATCCTGTCTGTGGAAGGCCTCTAAATGGCATCCCTGTGTGAATGGAACGACTGGAAGAAAAACCACTACTGTGGGTCCCCAGCTCTGCCTCTCACTACTGGACAGAGCACAAGTACTGTAGGCTACACAGTGCAGAAAAATTGTCATTGCAAAATTTTAAATATTTGTGACTGCTGAATCTTTTGCAAAGTGAGAAGGAAAAAGTGTTGGAAATAACAATATCTGACGTTGCCTCCTAAGCATGGTCTCACTTCGTCTTGGTGTTTTTGAAGATGATAAATAATTATTTTGCTTGTATCTTCATCTCCTACCTTTTCCTCTTCACAAAAGCCACATAGTTTAGACACATTTTTATTCTTCAAGCCTAGAGGCTTTACTACAGCTTCTGGAAGGACTGTTGCAGAAATACTTAAGACTTGCTGGTTATTAAATGCCAAATCCTGGCTGGCTGTTCTTGCCTTTCTCTAACTTTTAATAGACATATGAAGCATATCTGTTCCTTTACATTAGTGGATACTAGTACTGTTCAGCAAGAGAGCTTGTTCTTTTCTATTACATTTGATTTATGAAGCATCCTGTGGGGAATATAGGAAAGACATCATAGTTCACACTCTTTGCATTTACTACCTTTACAAAACTTGCCCCATTAGCAGAATCATTGAGAAGTCATAAACTAAGTAATGGCTTAGTATAAAATTATTTATTGTTAAAGTAAGCAAGTTTATTAGCACACCTACACAAAAGAAGATATTAAACTATTTTAAGAAAAAAATACTATTCCATCTGCACTCAATTTTGCACATTAGTTTCACATGAAACCTTCCTATTCTAAAGACTCCTCACTTTACAGAACTATCTTCTGCTCCCCAATGTATACAAGACATTCTTTTGAAAGAAGAAGCTGAAGAGTTATAAAGCATCTGCTTGTGTAAAAACAGTGATTCAGCAGGAAACACGCACTTGAAATACCCTTCACAAGAAAGGGCTTATTCACGCGGGGACAGTTGGCAGGGCTATCTCAGTCTCCACTTGAATGCTCTTTTTCCAGTTTGTGTTAAAGGGATTCAGATGCCTGGGAAGAAGCTAATCACCATTTTTATAGGCTACGGAAAGCAGTCTTGGTTCAGAACTGCAGGTGCTTGTACCGAAAGCTCTCCCAGTGAAAAGCAAAGGACCACAAGTTAATGTTCAACAGAAACTGGCAAATCTGCTGCGCTCACTGAGCAATGTGGTCAGGTGTGAATTGCAAGTGCACACATAAAACAAGGTAACAACTATGGCCGCTCAAAGTTCAGCTGCAGTGTTTAATGCACAATACACTAAAAAGGCAGAAAACACCTAAACAGGAATAATTTAGGCAATTCTAATCCTTTCCCAATTACTGCTCATGCCAATCACAGAAAGCTTTAGGCTAACAGGCATGTGCTTAAATCAGCAAGAAATGTTGCCTATAACTGGAAGCAAAAAATTGCCATAGTCTGTTCCAAACATCTTTATCATCGACATAATCAAGGCATACCACCAAACATTTATTTGCAGTGGTTCTGCAAGTTGCTTCTGGACACAGGTTTACTCTTTTAAGTTTTAAACGAGTGTCAGTGCCAGACAGGCTTTAACAGAAAGTAATGGATAACAAAGTTTAGTATAAGAATAACAAAAACCAAAGCAAATAGTGGCTACAGAATGTAAAAATCCATTTCAAGTTAATAATCTAATTTTCCTATTTACTGTGTGACTAATATGCCCATATGGGAGCTAGTTCAGACCATGTCACAACTCCCTGAGATGAAGCCCTTCATGTAATTTTCTGTGTTCTATTCATTAATCTGGAATTCTAGAATATACGCCAGCTCTAAAAATACTTGTACATTCAAATTCTTGGACATGAATATATATTTCATATGCTATGAAAAGAGCGTAGATGCTCCTACTTGGACAGAGCAAACACTCAAGACATGACATAACATCACGCTTATGGCCACTTCCATTTCCCAGAGGGTACCAAAGCAGTAGGGACCTTGATTCCCTCCAGCACTGCAAGAAGGCAGAACTCCTACAGCCCAGCTCAGCATTAAAGGCCATTGTTGAGCATTTAGGTTTCAGTTCTTAATCCAGACCACTAAAATAACAGCATCAAGATTGATAAGGTACCATACACTTACTGCAGCAAAAAAAGTAGAAAGATATTAGAAACAGCGGATTTGATTGCTGTGGGTCAGCTGATATAGAAGAAAAATCCCAAACAAGTTGTGGTTGCATAAGCAATCTTTACTTCAAAAAGTACTGGGGAAAAACATTAAATGGGTCTTGCTTGAGAAACAGGCATTGAACTGCCAGTACCCCCCTATGCAAACCATTTTCTCTAAAGACAGCTGCTTCCTAAATTATTTTGAACATTTGTCTCACAGTGGCTGAGAAAGAGCCACATGTCAGGGGACACTGTATGGATCCTTTTGCAGTACAATATTGATAGGGGAAAAGAAGGGCCTGAAAAGGAAGTATGAAAATGTCAAGCTGCAAAGCTGGCGTTTCCTGACATCCACAGTATTACCTATTTCTTCTATAAAAGTTTAGACTTCAAAAGCAGCAGACACATGCACTGAAACATATGAATCCAGACCACACAGGATGTACTTCCACCCCACCCTCCCTGCAAATCCCTTGACTAAAGTAGGATATTTACAAATAGCTTCAGAAGTCACATGTATAGATCTGTTCCACAATTTGGACATCTTGACATAGGTGAAAATAATATAACAAACAGTATTAATTCTAAAGTACATGAAAAATTGAACTTCTAAAATGTGTTCTGTGCAAGCAAACATGCCACTACACACTGCCTCTGCTACTCTAAGTTTTAGACTGGATTACATTGCAACCTGTTGCCTTCTCTTTTCAACTGAAAACAAAGCTTTAGAAAACACCAGAACACCGGAAGCATGGAAAGGGGAGCAAGTCAAAATACAATCCTCATTACACTCTGGGACTTATTTGTGCAACTTTAATTGTCTTGATAATCTACAAGTCATGGAATTTGAGTCTTGCTGCCCTTGACAAATTAAAAAAAGCTGGAATTTAAAAGGAAAAGTTAAGCATGTCATGTTTGGCAAATATTTTAAGTAATATGCTTAAAATATTTTTTGTTTCAATAGTCTTGTTCTGCCTGCATTATTATTAGTTGTTGCACTGATGAAGCAACATTTGAAAATGACCTTCAAGGACTTGGTTTCAAATTAAACCATCAGGAAGCCTGAGGGTAAGAGGGTTCACTGCTTAAAAGAACACTATTATCAATTATTTCAAACCTGAAACAATAAAGCTGAACAGTCTCTGTAATAATAGAAACTGCTGTCTTTTAGATCTGTGAACAGACAGAAATCAGTGAAAACAGAGTTTTAAGACTTGTTTTAGCTTTTTATGAATAGTTCTGTTGAATTACAGAAGCTAAACTATTACACCTACATTAACATCTAGTTCAGGGCTATCTTTTTAAGATTTGATTTAGCTTTTTATGAATAGTTCTGTTGAATTACAGAAGCTAAACTATTACACCTACATTAACATCTAGTTCAGGGCTATCTTTTCGCAAATGAGCTGATTTCTGTCATGGAAAGCAAGTAAATATGTTGGGGGTTTTTTCTTCTCCTACTGCAGACATTGAGCCAGAGCCTGTCTTATGGCAGTCAAAACAAATGAGCTGATTTCTGTCATAAAAAACAAGTAAATATGTTGGGATTTGTTTTCTTCTCCTACTGCAGACATTGAGCCAGAGCCTGTCTTATGGCAGTCAAAGATTTTTTTAAAATGCAACCTTAACATTACAAATGTTGAATTTAATGTCAGTACTTTCCTCCTCCTTACTCATAAAAACAGGAGAATGTCCCTATCCCCCAGGACAGTAATCGTATCTCGGGCTGCGAGGTTTGAGATGCACACAAGTCCTTCGCCACCTTCATTCACAGCTCAAAGGACAGTTGTGACAAAAATCGATTTCTTCAGGTCTCCTTCTCCAATCATCCAGAACATTCTCCCCCAGTGAGGAGAAACAGCCATGGAGGCAAAACCATGCCTGCACTCACCTGAGAACCCTGGATTTCCATGCACTATTCCTTACCTTGGTGGTTCAGGGAGATGCGGTTAGATGGTTCTTGGAAACCCGGTTCCACCAGATCCCGCCGACCATGAGCTGAAGTCTGATCTACATTGTCCTAAAAACAGAAGAGCACGGTATATTATCAAAACCAGGCATTCTGTACTCCCTGCAAGCTACATTACATGGAGTCAAACCACCAATACAAAACAAAAACCATGCCATGCCTCTGAAAGGAGAAACCAATGTCAGAGAAGATGGGGGAACAGATCACAGGGGGACACTAGGCTATCACATTAATACGTGTGGCATGGATCCAGAATCAATGACTGTGCTGTTGCTCATCAGTACACCAGTTTGTGTTTCAAACGGAGAAACAGTGATGTAAATGCACTTCCTAGTTTAACAAAAGTTTCTTCTTGCATCAAATTATGGGGAGGCTTGGGGCTTTGTTTTCTTTAATTCCAAGTCTGTGGCTTAGGGCTTTGTAACTAATTAACTGGACTGAAACAGAATCAGTAGTGAACTACTAAACCTCAAGAGAAATCAGAAGTTCAGTTTAGATAAACATCCATGGCTCTGGATGCCAACCTGTTGTTTTTTTCATACTGGAATTCTCACAAGATCAAGTTTCATGAAGTTTTAACACAAACAGAATTTGGCTAAGTCTAAAACACCACAGTTTCTCACAGATCTTGCCAAAGAAGTCAACTAGGAGAAAGCAGGAAAATTTAAATATAAACAAGAAAATAGGAAAAGCAAGGTAAGTCACATTTTAGAAGAATGAGAAGGAGATTTAGAGCAGGTGCGTGCTTTTACAAAACTGGCGTACCTTTGCACACACCAGTTAAGGGTGGGTATGGAAACTGTGCAAAGTTGACTGCAGTGATGTATCACCAAGCATAAGCTGCTGCTGTGATATACGTGACTATACACATGATCCCACTGTGCCCCAAGTGTGGGCTAAATACACAATGGCATGACCTGCTTTTATGTCAAAACACAGGAACCACCTTCATGGCAAATGACATTGTAATTAAGGCAGAGCAGAAACAAGCACACAGTAAGTGGCAGTTCAACTACACACAACCATGAGCCCTCAATCCAGCAGAGACAAAGTACAAGCTAATGCTCAAAATCATAATGGATGTAGTGTTTGGGGACTAGAACTCTATACAGCTATACAGTATATGAAATAAATTATCTCTTCATCGAAGAGACTGTCTCAGCAAATGCTTGAGCTTTGACTCAAGTACTCAAGCACTGCTCTCAAGTGTCATCACCATCAGGGATCAGTTCAGAAGCCCATAGGCATTTATAAGACAGAAACTGACAACAGTGGTATGACTAAGGAAGGTTTTTATGAGTAAACACTGTATGATAAGATACAAATGGCATCCATCTATCTATGCCAGATACAACCAGGACCACTCAAACATCTGCCTCCATACTGGCTATCTCCCCTTATAGCCCTTTACATTCTTCACAACTGATTTTCACAACACTGGCAGCTGCTGTTTCATGCGCCACATCTCACTTATCTCGTGAGTTTTTGTTATTGCTTCTCAGGAATCAAAAAAAAACCCTCAAACCACATCAGACCTTCTGTCAGCACAACTGTCTTTGTTCTTACTTTCCTGAAACACAGCTCTTTCAGTGGAGCTAACTGAACACACTTACTAGGAACAAGCAACTCACGAGCTCCTGTTTTCATCAAATCCCTTGCAACCACAGGGTATCACATTGTAACATTTTTAGTACTTTTGAAGCACTAATCATTCTCACTAGATTTATCTCATTTTCTTTGGGACACCACACAGCCATCACCGACCTGACCCACATCATCTCCATTTCAAATTTGAGGCAGAAAATTTGGGACTTGCAGCATAAGAAGACAACTGCAGGAAAGACATACAAAATTATAACTCTGTTCTCCAGAAAGTTCAATTGTAATTATTCCAAGGTGCCAAGGGCAGCAGTAGGGAGGAGATGCTTATCTACGAAAGTTGCAGTCAAAACTTAAAGCTGAAGCTGACTGCCCTCAGTACAAAGGCTAAGAAGTAAGCATCACAGGCATGGATAACTCAGAACATCCCTCTCCAGTCCAGAACTTTTCTCTGTGCATTTCCTTCCATGAAATTCAACATGACCAATTTTTACAGTAGCTAAAACCTCACAGATACAGTTTAGCAGCATTAGTTCCACTTCCCAGGAAGAAGTCACAATGTCTAACACAGGATGCAGTGACAGATTGCTTCTTGGCTGGGAAGAGCACCAGGGCGTCCCAAAAGAAATAAAACTTGGAACAAGAAAACCAAATATAAGCTATTTGTCACATACTTAAATGTGTTTCCAGTTGTCCCAACATATAAAAGTCTCTTCTGGAAGGCAAGATTCATGAAGTACTAGGTAGTAACAAAGGTGAAATGGGGCCGAGATGCATGATTTTACATTTGGGTTTCCCACAGCAGTAACACACAAACACTTAATTGAGAGACCTTATTTCAAGGTTTCACCTGGCTCCAGGGCCGTAACTCTTCAATTAAACCAGACTTTTATTTCTTTTAACTAGCAATTGCCAAAAATTTTCAGGAAGAGGATACACCCTCCCTGGAATCACCTTACATCTTGTACCAGAAGATGCTGAGAACCACAGGCCTTACTCACAAAGTGAAGCCAAAGCCATGGTAAAGTAGATCAAAGTTTTCAGAAGCAGAGGTTACAGTGACTAATGACTGCTGGGGCTGCCCTTTTAAAGATGATGCCCCTGCCTGTTCTGCCCGCTGCAAATGCCTGCCCGCAAGATCCAGAGAGTTCTCCTGCAGCTTGAGCAAAACAGGGAGGCAAAGGTTTCCTCCGGACACCGCGGGCCAGCAAAGCCCAGGTGCTAAAGCAAAGCGACAGGCCGTGCATAAACAAAGCCACACCTGTTAGAGCAATGCGGGCAGTGGAGGGGAAAAGGTAAGGGCGGTGAGGTTTAAAGAGCCAGGGGTAGTTTCGCATGACCCTCCAGAATCTGTTTGTGTCCGTTGTGCACAGACAAACACTGGCACTCGGCCAGCTGCAGTGGAGATCACATGCTGGAACAAGGGTAAAAGAAGCAAGGGGAGGGGGGCAGGAAATAAAGTTATATAATTACTCTGTGCCAGCAGCCTTGTTGTCGGGCCCCAGCTCAGGGCTGAAGCCGTGGGCCCCAAGCAAGGTGGGCACCTGCTTTGGTCCGTCACCACACCCGGCTGCAGCTGAAAATGGCCTCCAAACAAGTCATTTGTTTGCTTCATGGTTTAATCCCCAGCTCTCCCTCCTCTTCCAATAAATGCTCTCAATATGAAATTAAAGCATGTTACTTAACTTACTTTACCATCCAGCTATTGTAGTATTTTTAGAAACTAGCTGAGCATTAGCCCTCACTGACTTTTTGCATGTGCTGTTTTCTTTGTCAGTCGGCCTCTGCAACCAAGGATGATTTAATCGAGTGACTAGCAAGAGTGCTAGAAGGACCTGAAGCAGGGTCCTTTAAAGCATTAGCATTTCATAAAGCCAACACACCATCATTACAGGTCAGATTACAGTGTCCTTTTGCAAACCTATGTTGCATGACACAAAATGTGACGTGCTTGCATCGCCTTAAGAGCCAAAGTCCACTCATAGACAGTGTTATCTCTACATATCAGTAACCAGGACAATCTAGATTTATTTTTCAATCTATAACCAAGCCTTTCAAGTTGCACTCCTTAACTATGACATACAGTGTTTGCTGCTGTTTGTGCTAGCACGATAAGCATTTCAGTTATCTAAGAAAACATTAAATCTCATCTTTGAATCAGAGAATCAACCAGACATATACTACAGCAGCTCTGCTGTCTGCACACGTGTTCTTTAATCACCTCTTTGGCTCCGAGTGCCACTGTTCCCACCTGCAGTTTAGTTTAGAAGAGTATTTATCAGTATGAGACAGCATTATTAGACAGACCAGTGTGTTGCTACCACTCTACTGCTGCTTCTCTCATCCTAGTTTTTTCAGCAAAGGTTATCCAGTCAGTCATTCAGGGTAATCTCAGAGGTAAATAGCACTTAGAGAAGGGAGGAGGCAGATTTGAATGTACAAATAATGAGGTATCATTTATACTTCCCTTCTCCTTCATTCTTTGTGAAGAAAGGGGTCTAGCAAAAGAGGAGACAGAGCAGCTTTCTGGAGAAGTCTGGAAATCCCCTGAAGGGTTCAGCTTCTTCTAATTTCAGCAGTCTCTGCAAGTTTACAAGATGAAGAAAGGCTACAAGTGGCAGCACAGCTTCTCGGAAGCTCCTGGGAGCATGGCCAGACTGAGGATGTCCAGACCACCAAGACGACAGTCCCTGGTTTTGGATTTACTGTAGCTGCCTGCAAACCCACACTGCCATGCCCCTGAACAAAAGGTTCAATTGAGCAAGAGTCACGCGTACTCATGCCAGCAGTCCCACGGCAACAGATCAAGATCATGACATACTTCTGATGTTTGTACACTGTCCAGCACAACAGAAAGTAAAGTCAGACGTGCTGACGGGTCTCACTGCAATTTAGGAGACTATCACGGCAGATATGCCTCAGTTTGCAGAGAGGGCACTCCTGCCAAACAGGAGCTCCCTGCCAACCTGGCCGTGCTCCTTCATCACACCAAGGTACAGGTCTTAAAACTAGCTGGGTGTAAAGAGAAAATTAGCAAAGTTATTATTTGAACCACCAAGCTTTACTCTGTTCAGGCAATTTGTGTAAAGCAAAATTAAGCACCTTATGTTAGCACAGAGTGAGGAAGCTATTGCAGAGTGCTCAAGTGTAAGTGGTTCCCAGACAAAAAAGCAACTACAAAAATTCACTGAAGAGGTGAACACCAAGAGCTATGAAAAAGTGGACATAGCTCTGGGCTTCAGAAGCAGAAAGGGGATACTTGGAGAAATTTGTATCTGCAACTTATTGCTCTTAGAAGGACATAGATAGACAAACATTTCTCTACCTGACTCAGTAATGTTATTCTTAGCATGCTCCTGGAATTTCCTTAGCAATGAACAGATTAGACAGCATTTCTTCTGAGGATGCTTCATAAGATTCTTCACTTTCCAAACAAAAGACTGTTTGCATTT